GCTGATAGCACTGCTCGGGATTGTCTGCAGGGGCATTGCAACGATGCGGGGGTCTGGCGACCAGCCACCCTCGGCATCGCATGGTCCACATTGACGTTACGTGCCACTCTCACTGTATGTTTATAGACATGCGCGAATTTCTTGTCCATTATATTATCACCTGCCCTTGGGTGAATCATTAAATAAATAAATAAATAGACGCTATTTCGTTGTAAGTCCTCTTGACATCTGCAATCTGGAAGCCATTTTACAGTGTAAATTCTCGCTATTTTAATTTGTCATTAATAAGGCTTTAATTTCTTTCTCTGACATTTTTATAAAGAATAACTTTCCGTTCAAGATATCTACCTCTTGATATGCCTTGATAATGTCAATTTACTGGCCCTGCAGCTTCACGGTGACGCCTGACAAGTGAGAGAGGAATTCGTAGAGCACAAGAAATGATACAATGAAGTCAAAAGCTGCTAGACTTACCAACAGTGCAACCGCGTCGTCCTTGCTCTTTCGGTCCCAGGTGGCATCTTGGTACTCGTCGCCACACATCTCGTGATTAGCCCCACAGGAAATGTTTTCTAAGGCTGCAGTGACGTAGGGGTACGCCTGGTAGAAATGAGTGTATGCCGTGTGGCGCACGGCCCATCTCGTCCTGCAAATGTCGGTAAGTCCCTTAAGCCTAGTTCCCTCTAGCGACATAATGATCATAATCATAATCATAAGCACGAACATAACGCTGTTATGTCGGTTATGTCTTAGTGGGAACGTCCAGAAACATAATCATAGGCGCCCTTATGATCAAAATAATCATAATCATAAGAAAATGATCGACCATTTTCTTATGATTATGATTATGTCTCTGACTATGACTATGTTGCTTTTCTTTGTAGTGGGAACGCGAAAATCATAACGACATAATGAGAAACATAATGACGCAAGGGGATCATTGTGTTTTGGCCAATTAAAGTCTAGGTCTAGTACTTTCGGGTCGGTTCATTTCAAGATGGCGGCCAGATTCGAGGAAAAGCTTGCGAGTGCAGTTGAAAACCGTTCCCACTAGAACATAAGAAGCATATGTTTATGTTCGTGCTTATGATTATGATTATGATCCTGATCATTATGTCCCTAGTGGGAACTAGGCTTTACGGCGACTTGCCTCTGGTATGGCCTTCGTAATAATGGACCGTAGAAGACCTGTGACGGAAAGGTGCACAATATTATAGCAAGTTTGCATTCTTATCACAAAATGTTGTCTACATTATTTTAATACATTTCCTTTTTAACATAATTAGAACTTAAAATGTAATATTAATTTAAAAAACAAAATTACGAAATACTACAATATTATAACCACGAAAGATCGATGACAAGTAAAGCTATAATCCGCCTTACCCTCTCGCTTTGGGCTTCCAAGGAAATACCAGCAGCAACGCTTCAGTTTATCGATCACGTTCCTGATTTGCGGTAAAGCGCAAGTGTGGGAAATGACCAGATTAAGGCCATGACCACTGCAGTGTACATATACAGCCTTTGGCGAGCGTTCTCTTATTCAACGCTGAATTAACCCCCACGTTGTCACTGGACATGTTAGCGGCACCATTGTACCCCTGACCACTCACGTTCTCTATTTCCAGACCAAGACCTTGCAAAGTAGACACTATTGTTTCCGCTATTACCTCGCCGGTTATTCGAGGCAGACAAATATAGGCAAGAAAGTCCTCCCTGACATCGTTGTTCTTGTCGATGAAGCGTGCACACAACGCCAGTTGCTCTTTGTTGTGACTCGTTACCTCGTCCGCCATTATATTGTAGAGCTTGGCGGCCTTGATTTCCTCTAGCAGATTTTTTAATAGGATATCCTGTCCAATAATTTCAATGATCTCATTCTGGATTAAAGGCGACATGTAAGTAATGTTGCTGCTGGAGAGTTGGATATTGTCTAAGTTTTGTTTCAAAATGTCGTCGTGGTTAGCTATCATCTGCAGAGCCGCTAAGAAATTGCCTGTATTTCCACAACTGTCTTCGTTCAAGACTTCGTAATCTCCACCCAGGGCAATGCTTTGTCGACCACAGAAAAGAATGGCTTCTGAAACACATTTAACGCTGTGCCTATTTCTGATAATATTCTTCCACTTTTCGTCATCTATTCGGTTGTCCACGTTTTGCTCTGGGTTTTCAACCGAATTAAGGAAGGATTCGGTAGCGATCATTGCATCGTGATGGTACTTCATTCGCTCATGTCGAAGCGGCGACTTTCCGAGGTTAGTACGAATGAGTCCCGAATGGGCGAGGCGAGCCGCGAAGCGGCGAGAGTATTGTAAATAACCTCGGAAAGTCGCCGCTTCGCGGCTCAACATAGCGGTCAGCGGATAAAAGCGGAAAAGCAACATGGCGACTCGAAATACGGGAAAGACGCCCGAAATCAAGGGAAAATAAATTCTGCCGTGCTCCCTTGGTAGGGGATTTGGCAAATGTATCAACAGCTGTGACGAGGAATGTAGATTAGTGCAGAACAAAATGTTTTCTTCGTCAATCTTGACTCTTAAATGGTGCTTTCAAAGTGGAAACCACTAAGGCCACAAAAAAACTAACTGAGAAGATTTTCAATGGCTTATTTTAACTTTTCTCTCATTGATCACGACTCAAAAAATTAAGAGTAAACGAATTTACCACAAAGAGAGATGTTGGTGGTTGAATATTCTATATCAGCATTTGGCTATTAGGAAACGAAGAGCAAATCTGACCCTTCCACGAGAAGTCTTACTAGTCACTTTCGGATTTAACAGCCCGATCTTTCACCACCTAAAAAACTCATCGATCGGTGTTTCAAGCCATTCACTATATTTACTTTTTACCAAGCCTTATGCATACTTCCACGGTCATGAATGATGAAGGCGTAGTGATCGGGAAAAGAGAAAGAGAAATAATAACAGAATTTGTCTAAAAGTTCTCAGGATAATCATTAATTTAATTTTTCCATTTAATTCATTCGCCAATTCCCAGTAAACAGGCCAGACCACATCACAGTAATCTCGTTAACGTCCCCTGCCTGACCAAATTAACTAATTAATAGATGCAGGAGACGAGACCTAACCAACTGAGCTAACCGGGAGGTGGTTAAATAATTGTAAATTGCGAAGCCCAGATATTCTGAGATTTTTTTAAGCAATAGATCGCACTCACTATCAGTTTACCGGCGTAATAACCACGGGGCATTTTTGGGAGAATGCAAGAAAAGTTT